AACAGAAATAGTACATAATGAATGATATATTTTTTTTACATGCGTTGTCACAACGTCGTTATAAAAACCTTCAATATGTGAAGCTCCCGAGACATCTTTCCTGTTACAGAAAGTATCATATTCATATATAAGGTAAAATTTTCTCACGAAAGCTTACTATTTTTTTTCGTGTATAAGGTAAATTTTTTCTCACGAAAGCTTACGCATTTATAAAAAAACCAGCATCGGCAAAGCATTTTACTTTAGTGCCGAGAGGAAGAAGAGACTTGAAGTTATCACAATGGAGAATCGAAGTCAACCCTCCGGCCGAGCATCCAGATAGAATTGCCTATAATAATATAAAAATGTCAATATAATGATAATCTTCTTGAAAGCAAAAAATTAAAAATAAACCGTACGTTTTGAGCATTCTTCATTCCTTTCGCTAACAAGTCCTCGATTATAGCAACAAAAATCCTCGCCCCTCGATAGTAAAGTTTTGTGGTCTTATTGCATTTTATAAGGAAAAAAAAAAGCGTTAGATACCGAGCGCGTTAATTTAGTGATATTTATAAATGAATATTTACTATTTAACATTTACCGGATCAACTTCTTCTACATCACCAGTAAACGAAGCCCCGTCACAGTATCTAACTTTGATCCGATTCCAATCGTAAAAATCTACATATCGAAATTGAATTAAATTTAAACCAAACTTTTAGTTTTTCCCTTTTTTTCTTAAAAAAAACGAATAAACTCGAAAATTACCAGGGTTGAACTTCGGCTTGTTACTGAAAATCCCAGAAAACACGACTTGCTTAGCCATTTGCTTGGAAGATCCTAATCGAGTGCTTTTTCGTGCAAAGCAAGTCGTTTTATTATTGCACCATCCTCCTCCCTAATTTACAATCAATTATAGGAAAATATATAAACTCCGCACAAATGAATTTTTCGAGGAAAATATGAATCGAAAACTATTGTTCTATTCTATAATAGCTGGCCACTAATTAAACAATTCAATATATGTACACATGACCTTCAAAGCTATATTATCAAAGGCTACAAGTGATGTAGATATTGATAAAAGAACACAAATGCTCGACTAAAAACATAATTGTTCGAGAAAAAAACTCGATTGTGTAATTAAGAGATTAACTAACCTCAATGTGAACTAACCAATTGTTAATTCCAGCTCCAGATCCTTTGTCAAAATGGTATGCAGGTGGACTTCCATCCAAACAAACTGTAAAATTACCAAAACAAAATTACAAAAAATGAAGCATTTTATTAAATAAAAACTGAAATAAACTGAAGATAGAAAAATAATAAATTTCACTAGTTAAATTAAAAGGCATTTTTACCTGCTCCTTTTGCAACAGCACTCTGAACATATGTAATATCAACAAAGAAGCTTTCGGCTTTCAACAAAATCAGCATACAAACCAAAATTTGCACCCATTTATGTAATTCTCCATTCATTTTGCTGCAAAAATATATTATATACTTCAGAAAATACTCAATAAAAAGCTGCACAGAGGAAACAGAGCATGTAACTTCAAAAAATAGAGAGAGAATAAAATAAAATAAACGCAACAACAAATTTGTCTATCGAAAGAAAGAAGGTTCAGATGTTATCTTTTTATTTCTTGAAAACCAAATAATATGAATATTTACAGTTTCTAGCAATCTCAACCAAATGCGGTGTAAGAAATGAATTGAGAACAATGCCTTGTTAAGGACTAATAGTGACATTAAATGCATAGAGATTTTATTTTTTATTTTTTGCTTTAGAAAAATAAAAAGGAAGAAAGCTTCGCAGGCATTACCTTCGAGGGGAAAACTCAGATGGACAATAGAAGTGAGTCCAAAAAGGTCAGTCTTTTGGAGCTAAATACAAGCCCAGAAAAAAAAAAGGATTTATAATAATAATAATAACAATAATAATAATAATAATAATAATAATAATAATAATAATAATAATAATAATAGACAGTAATATTTAAATGGAGGAAGAGAATCCGAGATGCCGACACATATTCTTGAGTAAGAATAAAGAAATTGCTGACCTTTATACCTTTATATTTATTGTTAAATCTGCATATAGATTCTTTTGATATAAATAATATAATATATGATAATAAAAGGATAATAGTTTTCCAACTATATATTTATGCTATAGTGATAAATTTGGCCAAAATTAACAATTTTCTTTATTTTTTTATTGTGGGTTTTCATTTTGAATAAATAATTTTGTATGTTTCTTTAATACTCACTCACATAGATGTGAATATAAGCTAAACCTGTAGAAGTATTGTTATGTAAGTCTAACGGTTAGGTCAGTTATATTTTTTCAATAGGTAATGTATACTTTTTAAATAAAACATCATATTCTAAAAATAATATAAATAAATATGATGTTTTATACTATAAATATGTCTTTTTAATAAAATCTACGAGTAGACCAGCTAACTCTTAGGTCGTCTCCTAAAATAATTACTTGATGAGCTGAATTTGTATGTTTTGATCATTTTTATTTTTATTTTTATTTTTTTGTTTGCCCGCATGGAAAATTTATGAACTCCTTAAATGTAGAACTATAGTATATATTCAAATCAACATTTTAAAATATCTGCTAGTAAATATAGCTTAAAACATTTAAGACTGAAGTATCGCTTAATATTTTCAAATTTGGGGACATGAATTACATGCAAGTTGACCATAGTTAATATACAATAAGATAATTTATTGCTCACGAAAAAAAAAATAAATAAATAAAATATCTATTTTTTAAAATATGTTCATGAATTATACCATGTATATATTGTTATATTATATTTTTTAAAATATGAAACTACATGAAATTGTGCATATTTGTCAAACTAATTAACACCAAATTCTTGAACATCAATTATTGGACCTTATAATAGCGAAGATAACAAATAATTAATTGTTCAGAACCCACAACAACATTCTTGGAATATATATGTTCTTGATTATACAATCTAATGTTATATTTATATTTTCAAATAATATTAAATGAAATTCTATTTTATGCCAAACGAATTACTATCAATATTTTAACACCAATTATTGAACCCAATCAGTTTACGCGGCTGGATCTCCATTTAATGAGAAACGTGACAAGATGGGCTACTAACAACAATTGACAAATTTTTTTGTCATCTAATGTTAAAATCATAGTAATTTTATTTTTTATATGGATATGATTTTGAAACCATCTTTATCATTTTCTCACTGATTCAAAAGATGGACCCCTGCCTAAATACCCTCTTCCTATTATTAGTTCAAATGTCAAGTTTCAAAATTACAATAAAAGTCAAAATATCATAACATCTCAGTCAACTTGTTATAATATTAAATAGCTAGTTTTAGTGCAAGTTTGTTTCCCTTCAATTTTATAATTAACGCACGAGTCTCATATGTTGCCCGGTATTAAAAATGATTTTTTCTATAATTGAGTATCTGTGTTGATTAGATGCTCATTAATCACAAAAATTGAGGTTGATCACTATAATAGTTAATTGAGTCCGCATGTCATACTTTTTCAATAAAAGTATTTATATTGCAAAATTAAGTTTTTTTTTAAGTATGACATTCGAATATAAATTTATGCATATTTGTTAAAAATGGTACATTGTCGACAATTAGATCTGCCTAAAAACTAAAAACAGTTATGTTATATGATCATTAGGTGATATTTAAATTTAGTGTGGTATATAATACGCAAATTATGTGAATTTAGTTTGATATATCATACATAAATTGATATGAATTCAATAAGGAGCCTCATTGTCCGATTTTTACAGAAAAAAATATGGTAGCATGTTTGAAAACCAAGTCTAATTTCAGTTATGGGCTTCACTTAAATCAATTTACTAATTGGGAAACAATAAAATGTGATGCATATTACACTGTTAATCTAGTCTGCTTGAAATTGCTTTTTAAATAGAAAATTATGACAATTTGATTTGCAAGATTATAATTGGACTGACATAATTACCAGCATTTAGATGAATTTGAAGTTATAAGCAATAACAATCAAAAGTCACTTTGTGAATTAGATGGTGTAAATGATGTGATTTTATAATAATTATATCGCAATCTCGCGCTAGCAATTGTAATATATTACGATTATTCTATTTTTATTTATTTCTCTTTTAAAAAAAACATCATATGATAAATCAAATAAGGAATAAGATGATGAATAAACGTGAAATATCTGAATCTCTTATACTTAAAGTTAAAAGTTAATGATTTCATCGAATTCTCAAATACTCCATTAATTTGCANAAAGTTAATAAGACCTAGTAGATTCATAAAAACAAAAATCCATTTAATACAATAGAATATGATATAAATATATGCCAAACTTTTCATGATAAACCATTAAAATGTCATTGTCTCTCGAACCTCATGTATCTGTTTCCTTGTGTTGTCCTTTTCTTTTGGTTAAAAGTGAAAGCGAACAATTTAATGGCTTTAGAAGATGCCATAGCTTGAAAGCACTACCTTTTTATTAATGTTTGATGCCAACACAAACCAAATAAAGAGGTTCCATCTGGGAAAAAAAATAAATAAATAAATAAATAAATCAAATAATGACCTATATTCTCCATATATAATTATTGTCCATAAGTGTTTCACAAATAATAGTACTATTAGTACATTTTCTTTCTTATCTTGAAAATATTATTTTTAAACAGGTCGACTATACTTTAAACATAAATTTTTGTGGGAAGTTTGGTAAGTCAGATTTACCATATAATTTTAACAAAAATGCATACTTATTATTATAAAATATAGTACTTTTGTTTATGTTGTTAGTTATAGTATGACATTCAGTATGAAAATATGTAAATTTGTTTTTATAAAAAAAAAAAAATGCATAGTTGTCTAACTAACAGGTCTGTCTTACAAATTACAGTAGTCTGTATGTCTGACTAATCGATAAATCTACCTAACAACAGTCTGTATAGATGTCTAACCAATAGATCTGCCTAAAAACAGTCTTAGTTTCACAATGTCCTCGCTATTTCTTT